GGGAACCGAATCCAAACGCCCGGAGGCGCACAGCCGGGCCGACGGGCGGCGACAAGAGGCAGCCCAGCTCTCGCAAAACGCGGTTGGTCGATGATGCCGACCAGGATCGATAATATTATGTGGCTGAGAAGGCCTGAGAGCGGCACCTTCACAACAAACCTTCGGATCGAAACGTGGCTGGCAGCGCTCGAGACTTCAGGACGGCGTCTCTGCACATAAGTCTGAGCGAAATGTGGCTCTGAGCGCTCGAAGGGTTGCCCCTGCAACTCAAGCTCAAGGCTGTAGGACGTGCGGGCGCTCGGCCTAGGACGTCGACAGCGTTTCGCGCAATCGCAGCTCGTTGCGTTCGATTGTGGTCTCTGCACTGGCATCCGAGCCTGTCCATGAAGATGTGGCATCGCCGCGTCGGCTACCGCAGCGTACGGTAACGCCGGTAGCGCTGCTACGGGCTGCCCCAGAGCCCCTGCGCCGTCGTGGGGCAGCCCCCGGGTCTGCGTCTCCGCGCGCGCCGGCGGCAGCGCGACGCCACCAATCGAGGACGACAACACCGACAACGAGGCCCAGACTCGACGGCGAGGCGTCCAGGACGAGGAGCTTCGCGGCGCGCGCGCGCCCGCGTCCACGGCCGCCGCTCGGATGCGCGGCCTTCTCTAGGCCACCGACGGCACGGCAATGAGAAGGGCTGGGTCGCCGCCGCGCCGAAACACATGATCAGCTCGCTCGCTCGCGACGCGGCACGCTCTTCAACACATGCTTTCCATGCGAATCGCGCGCAGCGCGAGGGAAAATTTTGGAGCTCGTCCTCTCAAGGGAGCGTCGAAATGACTCTCACGGCCAGCGACGGCCAGACGTAGCGGCGTAAATTTGACACGAGTTCCCTCTCCCGGCGCCTAAGGATCGTAGAAGAGCAGCGTCGTCCGCGCGCGCGATGCGCGCATCGCGCGGTGGAAATTTTGCAGAAAATGCCGTTTGCAGCCACGAAACGACACGCTGTGCCCGGCTCGCGGCCTTCGGCCGCCGCCGTTTTTTTTTGCCGCGCGGGTCGGCATGACCTACCAACCCAATACGCTCTCCCTGGTCCGTCAAGTGCAGGGCACTGTGACCCATTCCGGCCGGGGCGATTTAGTGGGGAGCCCTAAACCGGCGCATTCGCCATGGTGCGCCGCACCACGCAGTCCCCTAAATTTTCGCGTCCCCACTAAACCGGGGAGTCGCTCCAGGGACGCCTCCAAAAACCAGGCACCAGCGGAGGCGGAGCGGAGCCCGGGGAGCACCCGGGCTCAGTTACCCCCCCCTATTCCTTGCAACCCGCCAGCCCTCAAGCCGGCACACATCCTAGCCCCCCCCGCCCCTGTTTCCTCGCAATTTCCCGTGGTATACGCTAACTTCAAGTTAACTGGAAAGGTTGGCTAGCAAGGTTGGGTTAGGTCAGGTTCGCCACGGCCCTGCTTGTTTTTACAAGCATTCCTCCAGAAGCACAACTAGCTTGGGCATGCATAGCCGGGTTGGGCTCGCTGCGCTTCGCCTGCCTCCCCTCGGTCGGAGCCACATGTTTGGTTGATGTTGCTCGCTTCGCTCGCTTTACACCACTCATCAAAAGTTTCGACGTGCCGCGCGGAATCCGTTCTGGTAGGGTCACACGATCGGCGTCGGCGTCGGCGTCCCTCCACGAGCAAAGTCTAACCTCCACGACACCTGGGTAGGGCCCGCACGTGATGTGCCACACTGGGAAATGGTCTATAGGTGCGTCGAATTTCATGACATTCAATCTGCTCTAGTGGCCTTCTTCCTGAACTTTCTTTTGTCCTGCGCCATCAAAATCTGTGAGGATGCTTTCTTTACCTTATCACGAGTCAACTCGTCGTCAAGTTCACCATTAAGTAGATCATCATTGTCCTTCAAGGCACCGTCATTGTCCTCCCAATCTTCGTCAAGCAGTGGTAAATCAATGCGCTGGTTATAAGGGCGAGTTCTCAAAAGTTGGAATTCATCCCCATCTTTGGCTCCATTGTCTCCCGCCTCGTACGTCACAGGACCGCCCGCTATTGAATCATCATCAGCTGCGATGTGGATCCGAGCTAACAGCTCAATCATCATCTTCTCATTCTCCGACATGACACGAACAGTTGTCTCGTCCGTCAGCTGCAGTTGCTTCCCCCCAACCTCCTCTCTAATGCCCTCCAGCTTGTCTTGAAGGTGCTTTACACCCGCCTTCACAGCAATGAGCATCTTAGCGAGCCGTTCGTACTTCGTGCGACATCTTTCAAGTCTTGCAGCAGCAGTGGCAAGCTGCTCTTCATGATCATCCACCATCTTCCTACGATGGCCTCCACCAGGACCTGAGTATTTGATTTCTTCAACATGCACTTTGATTCGCATCTTCTGTTCGTTGAGAGCCTCAATTTTTTGCTGATTTTCTTTCGTCAAACTCATCAGGTTTTCAGTCGTACTCTCTTGCGAAACGATTTTCTGGATTACCTCGTTCACATCAGAAACGCCTATTCGGGTGTAGTTACCAGCTGGAATTACAGCTATGAAATTCGTCATACCGGTGGCTTCCTTTATTTTTCGGAAGGCAGCTTCGAAGATGTCGATCTTTGTGCGTTGCTCCATCCTCTCTTTTGATAGAGTTGACTGTAAAGATGCGTTTGTCATAGTAGCCTTGACTTCTTGCTCACACCCTGCACCGATTTCACCTGCCTCCTGTGCGGCAATTTCCAAACGCATCTTTTCGCGCTTCTGAATGCGCTCGAGGGTTTGCTTTCGTAGCTGAACCATTTGGTGGCGTTCGCGCAGCTCTGTATCACGCCGTCTTCGTTCTTCCTCATAGCCCCCGCGCACATGTTCTAGCTCCGACTGTGCTACCTCGCGAGCGTGGTTTGCATCGCCAGATAGCAACAAAAGCTCCTCGTAGTCTCTCTGCTTAGCAGCAAATGTTCTTTCAAGAGCAGCAAGTTGGTGATCGAAGCCAATGCGTTCCTCCCTCAAACGTTTTACAATTTGTTCGTACGTCTTCTTAATTGACTGCACAACACCATGTAAGATGTAGGCGAATCTCATGTGTGATTACCTGCGCTTCGTTAAACTTGATGAGCGCCTTGTCTAATCTGTTTTCAAGCATGCGGATATTGCGTGTAATTGGCGAATCTTCTTGATTAGGCCGTTGTGACTGGAGCTCGAGATCTCTGACGCCGTCCCTTAATTTCTCTAATAGCTGATCTTTTATCTTCGTTTGTTCCCTCATCATGTCGAACTGTTTACGAGTCTTAATCAAGTCAGCCTCAAGATTTCCACTCAGATGAAACGATCCACCGCCGCGCTGCATGACTGAAAGTTTAATTCGGACTTCTTTGTTCTCCTCACGCAGACCTGCGAAGGATTTGGTAGAGTGTTAACTGTTGAAACACTGTTGCCAGCGTTTGATCTCCTCCTTGTTGGCGGTTTTGTTCGCTTCCAAAATATCTACATTTGCACGTCGGTCGCCTATCATAAGAGTCCGCTTGCTATTGAGGTTTAACTCGTAAGAGCACCTTGGAGCAGTCGCATGCGCTCTCGTAGATCGTCGACTTGTTCGGCAACGTTGCCATCGACCTCTTTGCGACCCATCACCATTTCGGTAACGCAATTTAACGACCGAATAACGAAATGGGCATATATCAAGATCAACGTGTGTGCTTGCACAGAGAAACACCGGTTCCCCCTGTTCCTCAAGGGGAAGAAAGTCGCGATTTAGGGTGCTTCGGCGC